GTGGGTGGGAAGGGGAGAAGCAATTAGTCATATACTCATACATGGAAACAGTAACGCTTCCTCAGCTTCTTGGAGTTGATATTTCAGTGAAACGTTTCTTTCCTGATGTGTTAAATTTACCTTCTTTGACTGTGTTCTCTCCATGGCTGTTTGAGTGGTCCGGCAGATCAGAGACCAGCGTGTGATGGGAGTGCGAATGCCTAGCGCTCAGGCTCTCCATCTCCGTTGCTGTGTCAGAGCTCCCCCGTCTGGTAAACTTTCCTAGGGCGAAGACAAGAAAAGGCTATTCAGTCTACTCATCTGAGAGGTGCTTGGAGGCAAGCGACAGTAACTAAGGTTAGAAATTGAAGGATTGGAGTCAGCAAAAGTCAAGGCCTTCAAGGACCCTGTGAAGCAGAACCAAACATTATAGTAGGATATCTCCTGGGGGTTCATTGGCATAAAGATCGAATCTACAAACTCTCTGCAAGGCTCTTCCCTTCGGCACATGCTGATTTAGCTGACGCTCACACTGTCACCCTCCAGCAGCTTCAGGAAAATAAGATTGGTCAGCACTGAAAGACTTCACCCTTTGGAGCAAGTTACAGGAATTTGGTTTCTTCTCTCCTTGTCCAAAATAAATAGGTATTTTAGGATGGGGAGTGCTAAAGCAAAGGGTCTGTTGACCATTGGATCTGAAATACATAATTTCACCGAGACATCAGAATGAAAGACCTGTAGGTTAAGCCACGACAAGAATCTGGAGCCCCTGAGATCAAAATTTAACAAACTTCTTGACCTACTGAAGATATGGGAAAGAGAATTTGGATACCAAGTTTGCTATTCTTGTACAAATCTGTAAGTGTTTGTGTATTAACAGTTGACAAAACACATGGGAATCTTTAAGAATACACTTGGCTAACCTCATTGTTGTGTGCCCCAAAGAGGGGTATGTTTACAATGGAGAGCTTACAATGGAGAGCTTACCAAATGATGCCATCTAAGCCGGTGAAAAAGAGAAGGCTCTGGCATGGCCTTAGGCAATCATTTTGCTGCCCTTCATCTCCACAAAAGGGTGCCAGGATGAAAATCTGTGACATTAGGAGTAAGTTTGTGAAACAGAAACAATGCCTAGACACTGTTCAGTGAACCTGGAAGCTTGAAGGAGCCAATATTTAGATTTAAACACTGTATCTTTGTAATATCAAGACAGTGTAAGCCTCACTATCTGAGACAATACCGTATTTATTTTGTACCCACTTGAGGAAGACTGTGAATATTTTTTGCCACACTCCTAATGACCATATTGCTGCTTCTCCATAGATTTCTCTTAAAAGAAGAGGATGCAACCATTACTTGAATCTATTTTAAGCTGCAGTTGTGCAATGCTTGCTACCACTCAAGGAAAGCATACTGAGTGGTACAGACATGACTACAGAGTGCTACAGTAGCTATTATTCCAGTAAAGATGGTAGTTTTCAGAGAAAAAGTGAACTAAAGCATAAGTCGTTCAAGGTCTGCTGTCAGCACAGTTGCCAATTCTACAAACAGGTGTGTAATGCTGTAAACAGAGCCAAGGACATAAGGTGGCAATAGGATGGATGAAGAAATAAAGAGCCTCTGTTGTTCTCTGAATGTTCAGGACAGGAATGACACAGAACCTGGGGCAGAGATAATATCTCACCTAATATGGCAGTTTGCCATCCTCCTCTCTCAATGCCACGCCGGTCCTCTCCGATTCCAGAGAAACTGCCAAAGGAGAAAGTGCTGCGAGTGGGCGAGACATCCAAATGATCCTCATGGAGGAGGAAGGGCACCCCCATCCTTCGTTGCCGCTTCTTCCCAGTATGGTGGAAAGGAATTGACCCTTTGCGCTCACGCTCCCTGTCCTCTTTGCGGCTCTTAAACTGCAGGAAGAAGAGGAGCAAATACGAGAGCAGATAGAGGCTTTGAAGAATGGCAAACTACCATTTGAGGGAAAAAGATAACACAGATATTGGCCCAAGTGTAACCTTCCACCCTGAGCTTTTTATTTTGGCCATTTACCCTGATAGCAACTGTCTGCACTCTGGGACTGTATGAGTATGTAAAGGAACTCAGTCTTGCCCTAGGCCTGGATGGATGCCCTTGTATAATTTTGTGACATTCTCAGACCATGAGCTAGATTCATAGAATCCACAAAACCCTGCTAAGTGTCTTGGATGGTTGCAAACCCAGAGCTTCATGAAATAAAAACATCAGAAAAGCTCACTGAATTAGCTGGAACTACAGTGAGCGCCAGCGCTTAAAAATCAGTACTGTTTGAGTACCCTCCCCTCATGTTCAGCAGGACAGTTATTTGTATAAAGATTTCAGTACTGTGTTTGCAATGTGCATATAAAAAACCTATTTAATAACACACAGAAACACTTCCAATTAAAAGAGATGTCAATCTCACATATGGCATGAATATATATAGTCCAAGCAGACCTTCAGCTGCCACTTAGCAGAACATAGGTAATTTAAAGTACAATTTTCTTCCACTCACCTTTTTGAAGATGTTCATCCCCAGGTCTGTGGAGAGATCTGGAACTGCTGGTCTACGCAGGTTGGTCAGTGAAACCTTGGAAAATGCCTCTGTGCTTAGTGATTTTTCTTCCTCATTACATTTCATTGTAAGATCCTGCAGTTCCCAGAAGAAGACAATAAGCACAAGGAGAAATAGAGGGTAATCAGCTTAAAAAAAAGCTACTTCCAAGAGCTGTCATAGGACCACTGTAGAGCAAAAGGACCTTCAATTCATTACACAAAACACTGTTCACACATTTAAAGAAAAACAAATGAACAAACAAACAAAATTTAGAAACTCCCAGAATTATTGACCTTGTCTATCATTTCTGTCACCACAGAAAAAAAGTACAGCACGTTGTGCTTCCACAGAAAGCCTCAGGCGTGGCTGTCAGCTTGGTCTGGTGGCATGGAAGACTTGTGTTCTGTTATACTCTGATTCTGATTCTAGGTATGACTTGGGGTAGCCAACAATCTTCTTGAGGCCTTGGCTTACATTTATGAGCAATCACAATGGCTACCCTTTTTGAAGTGTTTTATTTAATATGTAAGAGAATATGCCCTTAATAACATATGCCCTTAAACATAGAATCATAGAATCGTTTAGGTTGGAAAAGACCTTTAAGATCATCCAGTCCAACCATTAACCTACACCACCAAGTCCACACTAAACCAATCAAGAGTAGACTAGACTAAACCATGTCCCAGAGTGCCATGTCTACCCGGTTTTTGAACGCTTCCAGGGCTGGTGACTCCACCACCTCTCTGGGCAGCCTGTTCCAATGCTTGACTACCCTTTCCATGAAGAAATTTTTCCTAATATCCAACCTAAACCTCCCCCGGTGCAGCTTGAGCCCATTTCCTCTCGTTCTATCGCTAACTACTTGGGAGAAGAGACCATCACCCACCTCACTACAATCTCCTTTCAGGTAGTTGTAGAGAGCATTAAGGTCACCCCTCAGCCTCCTCTTCTCCAGGCTAAACAACCCCAGTTCCCTCAGCCGCTCCTCATAAGGCCTGTGCTCCAGAACCTTCACCAGCTTCATTGCCCTTCTCTGGACACACTCGGACACCTCAATGTCTTTCTTGTATTGAGAGGCCCAAAACTTACTTGTTAAAGAAACCTAAGACTTCTACATCAGCAAGCATCCTTCACTTGTCATAGCAGTGCTCCAAGACCTGTCCATCATAGTTCTCATCGTAGTTCCTACCTGTGAAAGCCCCTAGAGCTATAACACAGAACGTCCCACGACAGTGAAAACGTTGAGACTCATTTATTGACAGTTCAGTAGAGGGCACTCGACTTCCCTTCTGCACTGAGCCACACACATACAACTGCCTGCTGTAAAGAAAGGCTTTGCTACAAAAGGTGGCATAAGCTCAGCTCCTGGCCATCTGTTCTGACTAAAGATCTGATGCCACTTTTCATGAGATGTTTGTGCAGCTGACCTGACCAAATTCCCTCAGGATAATTTTCTTCTGCCTAAATATCAGCTTGTTTCCAATGGAGATGCTCTTTTCCCTTGTTTCCCCATCAGAAAGGTTCTGCTAAACAACTGGGTCATGTCAAAGCACCTTTTCACTTTCAATCCAGATAGCCATATGCCAATGATAGATGAAGCGACTCCTATGGTATAGGAGGTTTAGATTCTGGCTAGCCAGATTGCGCAAGTATGCAGTTTTATGCATATGAAAGTCCAGCAGAAGCTGGTGACGGTCTCTGCAGCTGAAGCCTTAAGCACCAGTTACAGTGTTTGTAGTACTGGGCTACCAGGGACCACATATTCTTCAGAGAATTTTCAGACTAATCAAAGACTACCCCTGAATCCTTTCTATGCATTTTATCAACACAAGAATGTAGGAGACACACAACAGAAAGATTCCTCTTCACAGTTGTTTTCAGTCACATTCAGTCAAGGTATGTTTTTAAACCATTTTGCATACATGATTAAAGATTTAGGGGAGGAGCCATACATAAAATCCAGTAGACAGCAAATCAGGATTCAACCCTAGGTATTCTCAACAGCAAGGCTAGCAAGTATTTCATATGGCTTAGTTCTCAGCTTTTACAGCTCTCTGGCCTCTTCTGGCTGGAAAACATTGTATGAATTTATTTCAGATTCATTATCTTTGTCCATTAGTTACTAAATCAGTGTTTTATTAGGTGGCTTATGGTCACCAAAAGGAGAGAATGAGGATCAGGGCCTGCCGTGATACAAGCCATACAAACACATAGAAAGACACAGTCCCAGTTCTGAAATGCGCTTAGGGTAGGTGTCAAGCAAACAACACTAGAACACCAAATTACAGAATCACCTTAAATGTACAGTGTAGTATATGATGTACTTTAACGAATCAAGCGAGCACTCCTGTTGAAGACGGATTAAAAAAGTGGCTATTCTGCGCAGGAGGCTATGTGGCAATTATGATATTGCACAAGATGGATAAGAAAGCAAAATAGTTTTGGGGCTGCTACTCTAGATTTTGTTGTTTCTGTTTTCTATTGCCTTCCTTCTGCATGACTGTATGGCTACCAGCTCATTAGTACTTCTCTCAACTCTCAAGATATTACACTTGAGACTCTTGGCTTTATATTAGCACCGCAGCGAGCACTACAGCTGCATTGGTCTTGTGCTTAATTTAAGCTTTGGCTCTTTGCCCCTGCAATGTTAGTGCAAGACTGTAGAGGTTTGTGAGCCTCTGAAGATTTCATTTCCTAGACCTGTCCTTATACTGAATTCACTGCATACAGATGCAGTGCAGGCTTCCTTTATCACATGCTGCCAAGTCTGAAATATGCTTAGACTAAAGTCACTTTCTAGAGCAAGCTAGTATTCATTTTATTCACACTCCATCCAGTACCCCTTTCCCTATGCAACAAGGAGTGCTGGCATGCTGTGTTGCATCTTTTTCTACTTCACTGTTCAGTTTACTAGGTAATCCATGGAAGATGTTTCTCATGTTCTCTCGATCCCAACTGCTTTAGCCCAAGCTTATATTTGAAATGTTATTTCCGGCACACAGAAACCAACGAGAAGTGTGAGAATTTTGCTGAGGCTTAGGGAGATGCAGGAAGTTACCCTGATATACTGCGAAACAATAGAAAGAATGTGGATTTACCAGAAAAATCTACCGGTCCCTGATGTGATTTGCAGGCAGCTGTTTTTGTCTTTAATCAGTTTCTGCCTGTCACTTTAA